AACTAATCCATAGAGAAGCCTTTCCTCCCTCCAGGACAGAGAGACACCATTTTGCTTCTATATGTCATTGAATTCAAAGAGCATGGGGAGTTTTTAACCTCCCTAGCCCCAAATTGAGTACCCCAGTTTTTCTCAGACATACCAATAAAGGGAAAGCAGTGAGAGTCATATAAATATCTGTCTGATCTATCCAGCATTGCAGTCAATTTGATGTCTTCATGTCCTCGTTCCTGTTGTGCTCACTTTTCACAGCAGAGAGCAAAAATTTTCATGGAAAATGGATTTCAAAGGCATGTGCATAAGTGTTCCCAGAAATCTAATTTTGCTTTTTCAATAAAATCATCTGCTACCATACAAGGGTTGAGCAGGAAAAACCCAAGAAGACACTTAGCTGACCACTGCACAACTACTTTTACTGGATCCAAAGAACAGAAAGTGTGAATATATACCAGTAAATATAAGAGTAATCCTGTTAGGCAAGCAGAAAAAAGCAGCTAATATCAAATGATTAATGCCTTTCCTTTTTCATTTTTTATTTTTTTCTGGTATGAACATGAAGGTTTAAAGCTCAGTTTTTGCAAGATGTTGCTTGCAGGAGATCTGTTTGGAAATCCAGCAGGTGCCTGGGGATAATGGGTGTGAGAAGCCCTAAATACCCACCTGCCTATTGAGTGTGTAGACAAGCTCACCAAATGATAACATCATGTTACCTTACCAGGAAATGGGAAAGAAATGATCAGCAAGGATAGACAAAAAAAAAAAAAAAGATATTTAGCTAGAATTTCTAAAATCCCTTCCAGCTCTTGAGTAAGATATTTTTCTTGTCACAGAATAAACCAAGGACTGTTAAAAAAAAAAAAAAAAAAAAAAACCAACAAAAAAACAGTTGCCCAGGGTAGCAGAAAGGGATGTAAGACAGAAGAACTAAAAAAGCACCCCGGCATGATACAGGAAAAGCTCCATCAAAAATAATGAACCTAAATTCACTGCCTCAGTGGCTGAAGAAACAAAGGATGAGATTGTTTGGCTCTGGACGTTGGAGCCTTAATGTGCTGTTAATAATGTTTATATCATAAAGCAGCGTCGCTGCATTAGCTTTGATTTAGCAACCCCAGTTTACATCAGCTGAGGAAGAGATCCATAAATTCAACTCCACGTCTGTAAACACAGGGAAGGGAGAAAGGCTTGGTCATCCCTGCAGGGCACAACAAGGGGCCTGCTGGGCTGATCTGGGCACTCTCTGGTGCCCACCCATCTGTCACGGCTTTGTCACCTCTTTGAGGTTCAAAAGGGACACGTGGTCTGTGTGCTCAGCCTCTGGCCCTGCAGACCCATCCATCCACTCGTGGTGGTTCTGCTCCACTTCATGTCCCACTCCAGCTGCGGAGGGGACGAGCCTCAGAAACTCTCCGAAACTCCAAGTGCCAGTAGAAGAGATTTTAGGATAAAACAACAAAAAGTAATATTAGCAGATTGCTGGGACCAGGCGGTTTCACTCAAGAGCTCTGAGGGAACTCAGACTTGAAACTGCTGACCTATTCAGCACAATACCACAGCAGCTGTTGAAATGGCGAGGCACCACAGGAATGGAAGGTGGCAAATGTTACATTCATTCTTAAAAAGGGCTTTTAGAGGTCATCCAGAGACCTGTGGGCTGGAAAGCCAGACAAGGCTTTTTGACAGAAAGTATAACAAAGAGCAGAATAGCTTAGATAGAATGGGAAAGAGCAAAGTTTGCTGAGTGAGAGCTCAGGCATTGCAAATCCATTCATGTCAAGATCTGAGCAACTCGACATACTCATAAAAAGTCCAGCTGCAACCAGGTAGAGAGTAATCTCAAAAAACTGAATGACAGGACGGCGAAATAACCTATGAAATTTACCAGCAGCAAATTAAAAGTGAGAAGTGTGAGAAACGCCGACCCAAGCCATAAAAAAACCATCAGGGGCTCCAAGTTAACATCAGGCAGGAAGGAAACCTCAGTCACTGAGGTTGCTGAAAACTCCAGCTCAACAGGCATCAAGAAGGCAAAAAAGAGCCTTAAGAATGACTAGAGAATGATGAGAAAGTGAGAAAGTGACTCCTTCTGGGGTATGCTGACTCAAACACAGGGTGCAGCCCTGCATACACTGAGGAGGATGTAGAAGAACCCACGAAGATACAGAAGAGGTGGCACAGGAACATTTAATGGTTTCTGTAGGCTGGCAGGCTGACTACAGCAGAGTTCTTGGTCACCTCAACTGGGGAGGGATGTGAGAGAGATCCCGGCAGCTCATGAGCAGTCTGGAAGTGTGAACAGGAGATCATTACTTGTCATGTCTTCTATCACAAGGGAAAGGCAGCACAACCCAATCTGGATGTCTAATGCAAAGAAAAGGAAGTACTTCTTTCACACAATGCAAAATTGAATTATGACACTTGTTGCCACAGGATGCTGTGAAGGCCAGAATTATAAAAGAATTCCAAAAGGGGTTAGCCAAATTCTTGGATGCTCGACCCATCTGCAGCTGTTAAACACAATGACCCAGATGCCAGTCAAAAATTCTCTCAACCACAGTCTACTGTCTACTGTGCTGGTAAAACCACAGAGGAATTGTGCTATGCTTGCCCTGTCCTTACACCCTTTACCTCAGAGTCTGCTGCTGAAATGAGCTTCCTGATTAGCTGGGTCCTTGGTCTGAGCCACTATTACTGCATAAGACATTGTATACAAAATGTTTATTAAGAAAATGGAATTTATTGCAGGTGATGATCACCTTCGTTCACCTCACATGAAAGTTTTGCCTTTGGCAGGTGCTAATATCTGATGCCTTGGGAGAAATGTGTTTCTGTCCTAAATATCTATCATGCCCCTGGCAGTCTGTACCAAAGGCCAGCTCTTTCCTGATCTCCCACAGCTGCTCTGCTAAATCCATAAACCATGACAGTGGATTACCTTTATCATTGATTTAGCTGTCACCACTAAAAGTAGTTAGCAGTCATGAAATAAGCCAGCAAGCGCATTTGAAGCAATGTCCTCCCCGGGCACATATTTCCTTTTATCAGTCTTAAATTAATTCTCCCTCGTTGCGTGACGTGTGCCTTATTCTCACTTTGCGGGGTGAGTAAAAAGGAAGCACCGATCACTTCCCATCTCCTGCCCCATAATTTCGTACGCTCAACCGCTCTTCCCTTCTGCTGCTCCTCCTTCACAGCTGACACAGGCCGAGATTACACAAGGGTGGCTTTTTCCACAAGGAATTCTTTTCCTCACTGAGGTGTGACTGCTGTGCTGGACACAGAGAAGGAGAAGGTTGTGGATCTGGGGTTTAAGTTACGCATCACCTGCCAGAGGGCAGGAGGAGAGGGGCAGGTGAGAATCCCTTGCTCCCGTGGCTGGACCACGCTGGCACCAGAGTGCTCAGCTCGGTGTCTGTGCTCGGCTTTCTGAGTGCAAAAACAGCCTGTGTTTTTCATTACTGCCAGTCTGGCATCTTCTGCCAGCTCTAAGCATTTCCTTTTTTAAAAAAAACAACCACAAAACAACAAAAAACCCAACAAGTTTTGATCATTCACTTCTGGGGTTGTGCTAAACTTGCCAGCATCTGTTCCATCTGAAAGGCAGGGAAAAAACACTGATCCTGGGCTGGGAAGGAATGGAAAGGAACTAGGTACCAAGTTGTAATGTGAGAAGTGAAGCCAAGAAAAACAGCATCTTGAGAGATGTTAAAGACAAAAACAAACGCTGTAAACAGGAGCAGAGACAGATTTCAGAGGAAAGGCAGGAAGACAGTGACTAAAGCACCAAGAGTGAAACAGTGTACACATGGAAACCGAGTCCAAAATCTCAGGGTTTCTTTGTCCTTGTTTTTCCTACCATTTCACAGAAATCATGATGCTGTCAGGATCCCTCTATACCCAAGGGTCAGTGATGTCAATGAAAGTTGGTGGAGCTGCATCCATTAAGAAGCAACTTTCTCAAATTTCTCAGAATTACTGGAGTTTAAAATAATGTCCTGAGAACCAAGTTGAAAACAGCAGTTGGGGTTATCCTTAAATGAGGTCATACTAAAGCCTAATAAAAGACAATTCAGAGTACCTCCATTATATTTTAAGAGTTGCAAAATTCCTAACTCTGGATGGTCACACTGAAAACAAAACCCTGGAAAAACATGTGCATGACGCTTTTCTACCCGTTCAAGAGTCCTGGCAAATGCACAGACAGCTCTACAAATTCTATCTCAGCAAACAACTCCTTTAGAAAGTAAAATAAGTAAATATTACTTCTGTTCCCCCCTAAGCTTTTATTTAGCTTTTTGGATTTACCTTTGCATCACTGTCCTTTCCTTCAAAATGTGGTAGGTGATTTGGAAATACAAACATCAGAATAAGGATCGATTTTTTTAAATTATTTTTTTAAAATTTATTTTTATTTTTAAAAAAACCCACTATCGTTTGGTTGGAAGAACTTTTTTATTTTTTTCTGAGTTTTTTGCCAGGTCAAACTAAAGCTTGCAAATCTTTGGGGGTCCCTTTGCAGGTGAAACCCTTCCTTGCCCCTCATTCTGAGTGCACGAGCTGAAATGCAAAGTAGCTTTTTTAACTCTCGAGTTATATTTTACAAGAGAAAAGCCACTCCCCCCCTCCCCCTTGAATCTCTCCCTCCCTCTCTCTTTCCCTTTGCTCTCTTGCAGTGACTGCCTTAATCTGGCTGGGGCCTCTCTCAGCTGAAGGTGACACGGAGGGAGTGCCCATCTGGTGACGACTAAACCACGCTCGACCATCTCCGTTACTGCCGGCTTTTATAACCCGATTACCACAGACTTGGGTTAGATTCAGACAGATTGCCTACCAGCGAAAGGCTCAATATCCCATTATCAGATTTGTGAGCCCGCCATTCCTCTTCATTTAGGACGTAACAGAAAGTGTCAGGAATGTCCTACGGACCTCGGCTTTAAAACCGGTCTTAACCATGTGAGTTACGTGAGCGTCACTCCACAGAACCATGTGCAGGACAACGATTTTAAAACATTTTTTTTTTTTTATTATTTAAATATTAAATAAAACACATCAACTAATCATTTTGGTGTACACCTCTCATTTTAACATAAGAAATAAAATGATTGTTCAGTCATGATAAAAAATAAAATACACATCTCAATTAAACCAATCACGTAGTGTCTTTAAATACCCTATTGCATTGCAGTCTGCAGAACAGCACTGTCGAGATATCTACAAAAGAACCCAGACTTTTAAAATGACCTCTTTCTGCTCCAGCAATAATTCCAAAGAGGTTCTACAGCAATCGGAAAAGAAAAAAAAAAGAAATACTATGAAAGTAAAGTGCTTGTCATTGCTCAGGACAGGAAACTAAAGAATCTGTGGCCTTTAGATCCATGGCATTAAACAAAACACATATTGAAGAGGAAATTCTGTGGTTTAAGTATGTGTGCTACCCCTTGCAAAACTGAAGGCAAAGTTGCTGCTTTGTGATGAGCTGGTTTCTTCTTGCCCTCCTCCTCAGCCATCCCCATGCACTCTCTTTTTTAGGTTGGGGTTTTTTGGAGGGGTTGTTTGTTTGTTTGTTTGTTTTAAACCCACACTACTAATGAGCATGAGACTTTGGTGTTTTCTCTGCTGCAAGGCACCACTCATTAACAGGAGTTCAACTCAACCAGTTTTCTCTCACTTTGAAGCTTCCAGACCATGGAGCAGCAGTGGCAAGCTGGGCATGCACCAATACAGACACACAGGTACAACACACAGATAAAGAGGTCTTTTATGGAGAGCCACAGACAGAGCCACATAACATCTTCAACCCTTCCTACTCCCACCAATTAACCTGGTCAATCTTTGGCTTTTTTCTTAAAAAAAAAAAAAAAAAAAAAAAACCACACAAAAAAACCCCCAGAACAAAACAAAAAACCAAACAAAACAACAAAACAAACAAAAAAAAAGGTCTCTATATTATTTGCAAATGCGTAATACTGCAGGTTGCATGAAGCCAAGGTAACTTGAAGGCACCCTGTGTCACACTAGAGAGATGGGTCCTTTAAGCATTTAGACAGAATGCAGCTATTTTCTGACATTCAGATGGCAGCTTCCAGCCAAGCTGGCTCACTGTCTGCTCACCTGCTTCCAAAGTTCGCACGCACTCCCTGACTCATTTCTGTAGGAGCACAGCCTGCTCTCCCCTTTATACCCAAGCAAAACTTCTATTGACACCAACAGAAGTCATGGTCTGCCTTGGAAGGGGAGTTGGGGTTTATACCAGAAACACAACATAAGCATATTACAAAATATAAAAAATAACTAGTGTTATATAGTTTTCTGCTTCCTATTTATATACATATACAGCATTAAAAACCATACAAAAAAACACCTATCTAATCCAAAACCTTGTTTTGCTAATATGCCAAAAACAAACCAACCAAAAACAAACACACCCAAAGATTGTGCTGTTTTACTCACTTTTTAATACAGTTTTGTTCAGAAAAAGCTGTACTCTGTTAGAGTAGAATTCTGTTCTAGCCTATTCCTTTTGTCTTTGTCAATATATAATTATAACCTCAATATTGCACATTTCCCCAAGAGTCAGTTCTGTTTGGACCCTGATAATGAAATGCATAAAAACATAATTAGCAGCTGAAATAACAATGTGCAGCACTAAGAAATACCCCTCAGGCAACTTTGTAGGCAACATCTAGGAGGGGTTTTTTAAAAAGAAAACCCTTCCCATCACCCCACCGGTACTGCTGCTTCCCTCCTCAGTGCCTCTGCAAGAATATGAATAAACTTAAGAGTTTATAAAAAGATTCCTAAAGATTATCCAGACCAATAAAATATATGCAAGTGTGCACGTGTGTATATGTAGACACACACCACTCCCAAACAAACATCCCTGCAAAAGACCAGGCATTATGCAATTTGGATCCTGATATCAAGGAATACATTTTAAATAGTTACTGCTTCTGTACTAATTAGAAGGGCATGTTAAGCTTTTCCAGCTGATGTATCAAGCAAGAAGTTCACAGTTTTCATTTAAAGTGTATGTATCTAGGAGGTGTGGAATGGGGATGTTGGTTCCTTTAAATAAAACGAGTGTTAACAGGAGGGAAAGAAAAAACAACAAATGGCAATGCTTCCATTTTTGTCTCCTATGAATGCATAATGCTGCATGCCACTGGTTTTCTGTTTATTTTCTTTAAAAGAGGTAATCATCTTCACAAACCCATAAATGAATATTGTGAAAAAGGGAGGCTCTGGTCCCTTCTTTGAAAAGCCTCTCCCTGCTGTGTCACCACTACTGACAGCTGCTAATCTTGCATAACAGCAGAGCTGTATTGGTCTGACTTGAGTACAGTACCGAAGAGTTCTTCCCCAACCACATCCCTCCCTGTCCCCACAAATGCCCCACCCATCTTCCCCATCATTATTTTTCCTTTAAAAAAAATTCAGTTCCTATTCGTATTTGTTCAGTGCAAGAATAGTAGAAGCAAAAAAAAAAAAAAAAAAAAAAAAAAGACATACATATTGCTTGTTTCAGTCCTATAAAGTTGCCAGCTTTCTGAGCCAGACAGCCTCTTCACATACTTCAAAATTTATTGCTTCTGAGAGTCACTCGTCCACACGACGCCAGCCAGCCACGGAACAGCGGTGAAAAGTTCCTTCCCCACAGGAGCAGCCAGGGCTCTCTCACTTGACCAGGACGAACTTCCCAAGCTGGCTGGAAGTCAGGTCCTCCATCTCACAGTCCCCGTGTTGCAGAGCGACGGCGTCGTAGCCCGGGGACTGCGCAGAGAAACTCTGCTGCTGGGAGAAGGTGGTGCCCACGGGGGAGGCGTTGCCGCTGATGTACAGGTGCGTGTCCAGGAGGTGAGCGGCCGAGGACACCGGGGAGACGCTCACACCGAAGAAATGAGGTTGGAGCAGCTGGCTGCTGCCAGCAAAGGCCAGCTCAAAGGAGTTCTCTCTTTGCAGCTCTGACAGCAGGATGGAGTTGGACGCCTTGCAGGTACCTGGGCTCTCTGAGGAGGGGACGCCGTTCGCTGAAGGTGCCTGAGGAGTCTGGGGACAAGCTGTCTGGAGTAGTTGGTGATGCTGGAACTGGAGCATTCTGAAAAAAAAATGCCCAGGATGGAAGAGGTTAATTTACATTGCTAGGATGGTTTAATGCCTTTCTCCTCCATTTCTTGCCCCTAACACTGACCATAATTTTCCCCTTTGTTTCCTTCTCTCTATCAAACCTCTCCTTACCCAGTCAGTCCAATCAAATCAAGCTGCCCATGCCAGGCCAACCTGTTTTCACTTGGCTTTTCCTCATGCTGGAGAGGGCCACTATCACCAGAAAGTTTATCTAGTCACCATTTGGCCAGCTAATAATAGATGTTCCAGAGACAACGTATGCAGATAAACCGGAAGCTCAATTTTCCATCTTGCTTCTATGGGAATGAAGAGGTGCCACCACACATGACATTTGAGGCCACTGGAACTGTGCCTCCTTTGTGGCCTGTAACTTTTCCAAATTACAAGGTCTCGCTTCCTTGCCATGAGAAAATTACAGGAGGAGGCAGAGAAGGAAAGAAATCATTCCCAAAACTAACAAAGAAAAACACAGCTTGCAATGGGGAGAGGCAATGCTTTCCCCCCACACTACCAAATTGCTCCTGAATTCAGCAACCTCCAAATATTTGGACGTTGAGATTTTCTAAGTGGAATTGCACGTCCTGCGTTACGTAGCCAGGGCAGGAAGCCACAAAGGAAGCCAAGCAGTTTTACCTGCTGCCACACAGCAAAGGTGGAGGATAGGAATCCCCAGCAACCAACCCCCCAAACTCTTTGGCTTTACTCCTCCTCGCTTACCCCAAACCAAAGTAAACCCATCGAAAACAGGAAAGCTCCTCCCTCACCTCTGCTGCTGCAGCACCTCCTCCAGGAGGCTTCTCCCCTCTCTGCTGCTCCCACTGCTGCTGTACATGCAGGTGTTGGGCTGCGTGTGCTGGAAGGGGCTCATGCCACTCCTTGCTGCCCGAGAGGAGGAGGACTGACACACCTGCCGAGCAAAGCCTTTGATTTTATTCAAGCCGAGAAACCCCTTGGCTCGAGCGTTCTTCCGCAGCTGCTGCCTAAAAGCCTTCAAGCCTGTGGGACACGAGGAAAAGAAATGCACTTTAATCCCCCTCAGCATTTGCCTAGGAGCACACTTTACACATCAGCCTTTCTAAAGGGCAGCTGCCTTCATGTGAGTGAGAACTGGGCTAGAGGAGACCGTGACTCTTCAGTTCAAGTCCACCCCTCTGTTTGATGGTCAGGGTAAGATTTAGGTGACACAACAGGGGTTGGGACAGCTGCAGATGGACACACACAGCAAAGGAGAAACCTGACAGAAATCATGACGTTGTGCACTCCATATTTCAGGAGGAAGGTGGAGCCTGCCATCCCACTCACGGCAGCAGAAATATCTCCATGGGCAGGCTGAATCAGTATCTGAGAACCTTTCCTCTAGGCACCTCCCTCAGGGCACCCAACCCTCCCTCAGGGACCATGAATACAAGAGGCAGAATGTCCGGCCTCGGCATAACACCGACACGGACAAGCAAGTATCCCTGCATCCTGCCCTTTCCTAGAGGCTGTTGGAAGGCTGCAATTTCCCAGCAACGAAGCAAGGAAGGCATTACCTTGAGTTAATGAGGTATCAGATGCTCGCCTTCCTTCTTGGAAGCTGACAGGTAGGAGAGAAGCACCTCCCATGCAGCCCTGGGCTTGTAACACCGGAGCGTCAGACTGGGAAGTTAGGAAGGGCGACGTCATCCTCACTGTGGCCGGGCTCCCCGTCATTACTTGACCTGCCAAACAGCTGCTCAGGGCCACTGAGCTGTCATTTGAAGATGAAGTAAGGCAGCTGTCTGAACTAGTTCCCTCTGTGGGGCTGGCAGAAGAGGAAATGACTATACCTACAGAGGGGAAGGAAGGAGAGAAAGAGCATTCCCAAGATGAGTACGGGAAGGAACGAACATGACATCAGAGCCTCCTGCCCACCTACACTGGCACTAATAAGCAGGTGCGAGCTGGAGAGGTGTCCAGCAACTCGTGTTGTTGCAGGGCTTGACTCCAGCAAGAGGACATCAACAAATAACCTTAGTTTGGGCTCCTATCCAGCTGGCAGGGCTCTGCCAGCAACTCCAGCCTCACCAGGCTATGCTGGATCAGGCACACAGTGTCTCTTGAGCAACATCAGGATTATTGTCTTGTGAACAATTGTGCTGGTTTGGTTGGTTCACAGGGCTCAAGTATGTACCAAGCACAGTTAGCGATGAGTTTTTTGTTAAGTTCAGGTACTCCCTCCTCCCCTGGTACAAAAGCAGGAGCAAGCAGATAAGGCTTTTGTCCTGCTCATGAGAATGCCCCCTGCTGAAGTGATTTAGATGAAACACAACAGCACAGCTTCTCTTCTTTAAGGGTTATGCTTATCTGTGGGAAGACAGGACTGTGGAGGGCAGAGTACAGACCTCTTTTCTGGGCTTTCCTATCCCAGTCAAGGTAAAATCAGCACATACTCCCTCGGCATTTGGCCTCTATGGTATTCCTTCTCTGTTCTTTTCCTCTGCCTACGGACACCCTTCATCTCTCCCAGACTTACTTACATGGAGGGGCATGCTGGTAGAAACGGGTGGTCACTTCGGCCAGCGTGTGCCTCCTGCTGGTGTTGCTAGGGATGCGGATGGGGTGGTCATATGCCTTGATTTCATCCTCCAGTTCCTTCTCTTGCCTTACTTCTTCACTGATGGTGGTCTCCAGCAGGCTGTTGGGGGAGATGGAGCGGTTCCGGAAGAGCCCGTTGAAGTTGGTGTCCACAGGGAAGAACACAGGCTGAAAAACACAGCAGATCACAGACTTAAGGGTGTTTTGCTTATTTCTGCACTATCTTTTAACACTCTTCACAGTCCTTCATGCCTTCAATAGGAGTATTGTCTGAGAGGCTACAGTGACACCAGGCCCAAATGCCAAACAAAAGATTGGAGGGAGAGAACAACAGTCACAACCCCCATTGTTTTGGATTAGCAGAACAATGGGGGGGGAAAAAAATAACACAAAGTTTAGCTGAGAACACCAACCTGTAATGGATTGCTTATGTCACAGTCCATTTCTGCCTGCAAGGATGGCTGAATCAGGCTCTGAGGTTGCTGGTAAAGCAGAGATGATCGCAGGGTTTCGCTAGAGAGACTGTCCTGAGGCATCTGGAGAAAGAGAGCGGTGCACAGAAGCCATCACATACACTGCAGTTCCACGTGACTTTTGAGGCACTGGAGGCTCTAAGAATTTCAGAGCCACCTTCCCTGCAAGCTTTTTCTTCATACTTCCTATTAAAATTAACAAAGCTAATCCATCAATGCCAACACAAACACAGAACTCCTTCTGCTAAGTTAGGCAATTTAACTGGAAGTGCAATTTGAAAAGGCACCCAGACCACACTTCAAAGGGGGTGGGAGTGAAGAAAAGAAAAAGAATGTCAGAGAAACACACAAACTGACTCATGGAGTACTTCTGAGGATCCTACAGGTTATGTAACAAAGAAGTGTTACTGAGCCATGCCCAAGAGGACAAAAAATGAGAAGTCAAGTCTTCTGGCTCATTAATGACCTGCACTGGAGGCAGACTATTCTTTGGCCCATGACCCACAGTTGCTTCTTAGGAATCAGGCCATTAGTATTCAATCAGCCTCCTGCTGAAGAACAGCAGGCTGTGTCCTGTCAGAGGGCACCAACACCAGGATTGGTTTTTCAAGAAGCCTGACAGTGACAACCTTGTACTTTCCCATAGCGAGCAACAGAAAAAAACAGATCCAAAGGACACATCTTCCCAGTAAGCAAGTGCCTTTCCTCACCTCAACATTGGTGATCTCGGAGCTCCTGGGCCGTTGCTGGCGGCCGGTCGCCGGACGACTGGACAACTGGCTGCTCCGATACTCCTTGAGGCGCTCCAAGAGCAGGTAATAAATTGCAGCAAAATGGTTGTAGCTGCTGTTCTGCAGAGACTGGAAGACATTGAAAGGACCCTTTTGAGTTATAGGTCATTCAGTACACAGGCAGCCAAAACTCGTCACTTATGCCTCGTAACAGCACACTCAAAAATCAAGCAAAAATCCAGGAGGGCAGTGAAGATTTTACTATGCTGCAACACCAGATCAAGGCCAGTCACTGCGTGACACACATATGACTGTACCACCGGAATTCTGGTAGTCACTGAAGATGTATCTACAGGGCAAGCACTTCTCACCTCCACAGTCCTCTGCCTGTCGATGCCAAGCGTTTGCATGATCCCAAGGACCTGCTCATTGTAGTCACCCAGGTTGGAGTTGTAGTTTTGCATGGAGAAGGACAAGGACTGCTGCTGCTGAAGGGATGGGTCAGCTTGCATCCACTTGTGCTGCTTTATCTGGGAAATGGTTATCCGCTTGGTTGGGTCCACAACCAACATCCGCCGGATTAGTGTTTCACAGTCTGGATGACAAAGACAAACTCATGAGCGAGGCGTAAAAATAACAGCCCAGCCCCAGGTCACTGCTAAGAACCCTTCCCAGCAACAGTGTGTGATGCCTATGAAAACACGAATTAAAGGTTTCTGAGCAGTTGATGCCTGGTCTGACCATCAGATATTCCAAACAGCACAAGAGATGTCCCCACATACACCACAAAAGCAACATGTCACTGCAGGAAATGAGGCTGTACTGGGTATTGGCATGTTTCAGGTGGCCTTGCACCTTGCACAAGAGCTAGTTTTGAGAGGAGGCAAGTTTAATGTTGTTACACCCACATAAAATCGGTGGGAATTTAGTACAGAACTCCATCACATACAACTTCCTCATCCATATATACTGCTTATTCATTTATAACCAGGAAATCAAAGCTGTTCATGGCTATAAATGATAAAGGTCAGACTTCATAAGATAATTTTCACGTGAAGACAGAGGCGTGTTCACTTGTTTTGAAATCAAATCAGAGAGAGGTGATAATAATCACCTCAGTTCCTTTTTCTCATCAGACTGTTGGGAGTGCTCAAGAAACAGTGCTAAGTCCCACTATTTCTGCTCTCCTTGGCAGCACAGTCACGCTGGAATACACACCTTCTGCATAGTTAAAATATCTTAGAACTACACCCATCTCAGCACTGCAGGCTAGCCTCATTAAAATCCTGTTTTCTCTCTTTTGTGAGTGATTATTTCTCCAGCTAGGATGTCAGGTATTTTTGTAATCCATAGGGATACTCTAAGAAAGGAAACACCAGCCTTTTAGATGCACCATAAACCAGATCCCAGAAAAGAAAATGTGTGCAACCAGCCCCTCAGCTCTAAGTGCTGCCCCACAGAAATCACTGGCTACATAAAGTAATTCCCAGCTGCAAACAGGGCAGCTATTCTTTTATTTGTAGGACCTGTTCTAACATTAAAGGTCTGGAAAAAAGCACCTTCGGACATGAAGTATGGGATGCGGAACCGCCCCTCCAGCACTCTTTGCCTCAGAGTTGGCAAATTGGGTCCATCAAAAGGCAGAGAACCGCAGACAAGGACATACAGTACCACCCCAAGGCTCTGTCAACAGAAAACAGCACAGCATATGAGTGACTCCAGGAAAAACAATGATTTTGGAAGCCCACAGACCCTCGCGCAGTATGAAATGCGGTTTCTGATGAATAGCAAGCTCACCCATATATCAAGGTGAGGTCCTTCATATTCTTTGCCTTCAAAAACTTCTGGAGCTGCATAGGGTGGGCTTCCACACCAAGTGGAGAGGGGTTCTCCCGACTTGTAGAAGTTTCCAAAGCCAAAGTCTGAAATGAAGGTAAAAGTCTGGGGTGAGACAACACTCAGTCACATACTAATATTTCAGAAGTAGCAAAAGATGTAGAGAAAGGAACAGATGTGTTGTTTTGTTCTCTGCCTATTCATTTAAGCTATTTTCTTCTGTTTATAAAGTATGTTCTGAGAAATATCAGCAACCTTTGTTTTATTTTCAGTTAGCATAAATACATTTATAGGATCATACCAGGGATACTGAATTTGACTACATGCCTAGTGTTGTTTATAGAGTGTAATAGGTAATATTTCTTATTACCTGCTAACTTGATATTCATGTTAGCATCTAGCAGAAGGTTCTCTGTTTTGAGATCCCTGTGCACTATGTGGTGGCTGTGACAATATTCCACTGCTGAAAGAATCTGCCAGAACTTCTTCCGCGCTTCACTTTCACTCAAGTGCCCATTGGAGGTCAGATGATCTACAAGACAAAACCAAAGAGGCACAGGATTTAGAAATGCCTGGAGGAAATTTTTCATAATCCTGCAGGTGCTGTGCTCGCTGTTTGACAGCTGATAATGCCAACTCTGGATTTTCAATCAGAATATATCTGTAACTCAGGAATTAAGACAATAAAGGAAAGATTTCTAAATCTAAAGAACTGTTAGATCCAGCAGTGAGGACTTACCAAACATTTCTCCATTCTTTGCAAACTCAGTAACAATGTACAGCATATCCTTTGTCTCCATAACCTGTGAAGACACAAAAGGACATGATTTAAAAAACAGCACAGGTCTGTAATTTCATTCATCTTTCTACATGTATTCTCACACATATCAGTTCAATTTTTTAGTTGCCGCAGCAGCTGGCAGTAAAGGCAGCTAATTTTGCACCACAGTGTTCTCTCCAAGCACACTGGTAATGAAAAAGATAACAAATCAATCCTTATGTGCCTACACTACACAATGGCTTCTCAGGCCATTGTTCTTCTCAACATTACCATGCCACCTAATCTCCATACGATAATAGATGAGCATTTCGATAATTCCACACACTTCCCTGAACTCCTCTTTTGTTAAAATGCTCACATACAGTTTTACACTTCATTTGATGTATGTTGAACGTGCAAAGAACACTTTATCTAAGGTTGTCTTTGTTTCAAGGCTAGTGGGGGGCTCAGATCAGCAGAAATAGTTGCAACTTGGACAAATTAAGAAGGCCTCCTGTGCAAGTGACAACAGGCTGCTGTTTGTGTAACAGCAGTGCTTGATGTACATCAACAACTGTCAATGTATCAGCCAGAGCTGACCTATCAATCTAGTATCAACTTGCTTTGATATTTCACAATTTTCTCCTTTGGAGAAAAAAAAAAAAAAAAAGAAGAACCAAAACCTCAATGATGAATGAGAAGTGCTGAGCATTTCCAAATTCATCTTCAGTTACCACAGCACACCTTTCAAATGCTGCGTTTCAGATTTTAAAAAAACAACATTTACCCGGAAACATTTCCCTCTTAAGGAGCAGATACTTTGTTTTGGAACCGGGAGGCTCACAACAGGTTAACAATCAAGAAGAAAAAGCGTCAATACTACTTCAAAGGCTGTAATTTCCAGGGTCCTAACATGTAACCTTTTGCAAAGACTCTTGTCCTCCCCTCACTACAAGTACACACAGACACCAAATGAAAATAAACAAACAGGGAGCAAAGGAAGAGAGGTTCCCAGTTTAAAAAACTGAAGGAAAGTGTTCTGGGAAAGTTGCCAGCTGGATGAAATTAAGACGCGGTGCTGAAACTAAAACAATGATGAAATAATACAAGAACACACACCCTACATTGGTATGTCAGCTAATTCCATCCCTGCTTCTCAGCCTCCACCAAACAGGTGAAGCATCAGTTACAACAACAAAGAAAAGAAAACTTCACTGAAAAGAAATTATGGTCCACTACCAACGTCATTTGCTCCATCAAGTGAAGTGGTTCAACTAGATGGAATTTAACCTGCTTTTCTAAATGCTTTGAAATAGTATTTTCACCCACATCATTCCACTGAAATGAAATCAACTGAACTGTTAGAATGTTTCTGTCTATCCTATGCTGCCCCATGGGCAGCCATGACGTCAGCTGTTAACACAGAACCACTTTTGTTATGATGGTTAATACTACAAATACAAACACTTCATGTGTGTCAAGGTCTTCAGAAATAATGCCTTGCCAAAGCACCTGCCTTACTGGCTCTTCAGCCTTACGTGTTAATTAAACTTTTTTTTTTTTTTAATTTCTTTTTAAGCTAACAAACCCAACGGTAAGATCACAGCTGATAATAGTATTTACTACTCCACACGGACTTTCAGACCTGCTGCTTCATCCATGTCCCCCTCTCTCCCCCCTGCCCTTCCAAGACAGGTCCAGACAAGCTGATACCTCATCCCTGCTCACGGCACAGGCTTGGACTAGATGACCTTTAAAGGTCCCTTTCAACCCAAACTGTTCTATCATCTTCTTCTTAAATCCACACGGCATTATTTAAGATGATTAAGAGGAACTTACACCAAAGGCTAATTAGATCGAATATTTAGAATTTGCAAAGCAGTCCTCGTGATCCTTGTGATCCTGTTTTCTGCACAACACAATAATTTGTTCCTATGGTTAAAACCACCCATTAGTGCAGAAACTGAACAGCTCTACAACAAAATTCATGTTATGAAACTCTACAAGGTCACAGATATTTAAAATTCACTTTCAAAACTACACAAGCGGAAAAGAATAATCAAATAGGTCATTTTTTAGTATATTCTAAGATATACCAACATTTACTGCCTTTTAACTTTTTTACTAATTTAATTCTTACATTAGAATTTCACTTAGAATTTCTACTTAGATTAATTAGGTTTAATTGTTATTGGTTTAAATCCCTTCCACTTAAGGCAAACTCAACTTTTGTGCTTCCTTCTCTACCACCCTACACGAGTTTAAGCCTTCCTCTTATCAAAAGCACGTAACAAGTTCCAGTCTTCTAAACTAGAAAAGCAGAGGAGATAGGAAAGCCAAGTTAATCATAGAAGTTCAGACAACCTGCTCCGCGATCCGAAACAAACATCAGCCTGGTTTAAACTGTAAATTTTACAGTGCATTTTGTCAAAAAGCTGTCTAATGTACCAGGGTCTTGTTCAAGGAATGAAGAATTTTAAAATACCCCTCTTATTTCAAGTGGTTTTCGAAAAAAATATTTCAATATGCGTTCTCCCTGGAAATATTAGATGTAAAATCATGTGCAAGAGAAGAGCACAAGTATACCTCATCTACGTGCTGCACTCCAAAGCTGAACTCTTACCTGATATAGCTTGATAATGTGGGGATGATTCAAAAGCTTCATTATCTGAACTTCTCTATAAATCTTCTCCAGATTGCTTGGGTCTAACCTTGTTTTGTCTATTATTTTTATTGCAACCTGCAGATTTAAAAACAACCCCAGGTATTACAAAATAGGTACTCTCACTGTCCACATATCTTAAAAAAAAGAAAAAAAAAAGACACCTCCCGCAGAGACACGCCACTTACAAAATCCAAGTAAAGTAGCTTTTAAAGTAGCTTTTTAAGTATGGACTTGACAAAGCTGATTCTGTTTCTCTGAACCACACGGAATTCCCGACACAGAACGTTTTCGTTTTTCTTTTCTACGTCAAAGGATTACACATAAGGTAGTGAACAGAACTGTAGAAATTAGCACTGGACAGGATTCTGCAAATCTTTTAATCCGTCCCATGCCAGTGAAAAACAGATTCCTCTAACAGACTATTTCCTACTGTGGTGACTGATACGATTTAAACATGCACTAGAAATATAGAAACGTCTGCACTACTCATTAATAAATTATTTCTGCGAATAACACCCCAAGTTCTTTGCTCTTGAACGAAAAAAAACCTAAACCCACAAAAAGTCTTTCGAAGACCCTTAACGTGTCGGGCTTTTCAGCAAACTGAGTGCGATTCAACGGAGCTACCGTAACACTCAGAAATGGGGTGTTCTGAGGTTGGTTTTTCACATATATTCTCGCTCGGCTTTAATTTTACACACAGCGGGAAAACTTGAAGATCCTCAGAGGAGGAGCCGCATCAGCCGCGGGTTCCGCAGCTCCGCGGAGCCGCCGCGCTCCCACCGCCATCCCCGGCCCTCCAGCGCACCCACCTGCGTCTTGGTCACCCTGTGCCGGGCCAGCTTGACCACGGCGAAGTTGCCTTTCCCCAGGGTCCTCTCGATGTCGTAGAAGCCGACTCGCAGGGGCCGCTGCGCGGCCGCGGGCGCGGAGCCGTACTCTGACATGATCACCATGGCTCAGGGCGGGGGGCGCGGGCAGCGCTCGCCGCGCCTTTAGGACGGGAGCATCCGCGCTGCCCCGGGCTGCTCGCACCTGCACGGAACACGGCACGGCTCACACGGGCTCTCCCCGCCCCGGAGCCCAGTCCGAGCCGCCGGCGGTCCCGCTCCTGCCCGCCGGAGCGGCCGTACCTGGCGGGGCGGTGCGGGCGCGGTGCGATGCGCTGCGTGCGGCGCAGGGTGTGCGGGTGCGGGCGGGTGTGTGTTGTGAGCGTGTGTCTGTGTGTGTGTGCGCGCACCGGGGGGCAGGCGGGACCACGCGGGATGTCCCGGCCCCCCGCCCTTTCCCGGCGCCCTCCTCCATCCACGCACACCCCGCCTTCCCTACCTCCCCGCCCGCCTCCTTCCCCCCGCCCACCGCCGAAAGCCGAGACGGGCCCATTGACGTCACTTTGACGCCAGAAGGACGCGGTCCCGGGCGCGGGGCTGAAGGGGAGCGAAGGCACCGGGACGTTGCCAGGGAACGGGCGGCGCTGACGCGGGCGCTGATGGAGCCGTCGCCCGGGAGACCCGGGGGGGCGGTGACGTCAGGGCGGAGGGAGGGAGGGATGGGGTGGGATGGGGTGAGGGGTGGGGGGGTCGTCGGGGTCTCCTACCCACCCCGCCCCATCCCGTCCTCCCGCCGGGGTCGCTCCCCGCTCCCGACGGCGCGTCCCCGCAGCGCGGCTGCGACCGCCCGGCATCAGCACCTGGCCCTGGTGACCCCCGGTGGCCCCCGGCGGGGGTGCCGGGTCCCGCTGTCCGCAGCTACGGAGGCATTCCCAGGCCCGTGTGCTGGGGACACCGACGGGGACAGTCCAGCTGGCAGGAGGAAAAGTGCGGCTGCAGAGCTGCGGGCGACATTTATCCCTAATCCCTGTGAACGCCCACCCTTCGCAGTAGTGCCGGCGGTGGGACACTGACCCGCCTTCCCCCGTGCAAGGACGGTTTCCCTGCCCGTGTTTTCCAGGGTGTGATGGAGTGGGGAGGCTGCTGCCGACCAACCCTCAAGGGCTGAGGCCACCCCGGTGTAGGGACAGCAGCCCTCTGGGTCCACCAGCTGGGCACAGGCAGCAACACAAGTAATAATAAAAAGCCCATATGTTATCCTAGAATTATAGAATGGTTTGGGTTGGAAGGGACTGTAAAGATTATCTTGTTCCAAGCCCCCTGCCATGGGCAGGGACACCTTCCTCTAGACTAGGTTACTCAGAGCCCCATCCAGCCTGGTCTTGAACACTTCCAGGGATGGAGCAGCCACAACTTCTCTGGGCAACCTGTTCCAGTGCCTTGCCACCCTCACAGTAAAGAATTTCTTTCAAATACTCAACCTGAACCTACTCTCTTTAAGTTTGAAGTCATTCCCTCTTGTCTCTCAGTCTTTCCTTGGAGGAGAGGTGCTTCATCCTTCTAATCATCTTGGTGGCCTCCTCTGGGCTCCCTCCAGCAGGTTCATGTCATATATATATATATATGCAGCCTTGTGATACTATTGCAACTTACTGCTACATTCAAAATATACCTGCAGTGCTATTATGTCTGGTGAGTCTGGAAGTGAGGCTTGGGAAGTTTCCCTTTGGCACACCAGGGCTGAAAGAGGTTGTTTGGGATTGAACCTCAGCATCCTGGAAGCTGAGACTCCTCTCAAGGTCAAATGTGAAGCAGCAGATGCACAGGGTTCAAACAGGCAGGTCTTCAGCCTTCACCCAGCAGGTGACTAAAATATTTGTACATTTGGAGTCAAATTCCAGTTTAGCCACAAAAATAAGTCTTGAATGATGCCAGCCACATCTGTTAATCTTCTGTATTACAGTCAGTCAAGGCTCTTTTCAGGCAGGTAATTCAGTCATCTCTTGGGTTTCTGACTGGAAAACTGTCCCTCTTGGTCTGAGCCCCACGCCTGACTGTCACAGCCCATGGCACACTGGGCAGTGACCCTTCTCTTCCACTCCAGGACACAAAATTTGGTTCGTCAGACTTCTTGAAATAAGGTGATGCTTTGGGTGGAAGAGATGTAGCTCCACTTCACACCGAAGATTTCAAATCAATCAGTAAAAATCTCTTCAAAGAGAAGACTGAGAGGGGATCTCATCCATACATATAAATATCTCCAAGGTGGGTGTCAGAGGTTGATACCAGACTCTTTTTGATGGTGCTCAGTGACAGGATGAGGAGCAATGGCCATAAAATAAAACACAGGAAGTTTCACCTCAACACGAGGAATAACTTCTGTACATGGAGGGTGGCAGAGCACTGGAACAGGCTACCCGGGGAGGTTTTGAATTCTCCCTCTCTAGAGACATTTCCAAACCCACTTGGATGTGTTCCTGTGTCACCTGCTCCAGGTGACCCTTCCTTGGACTGGATGATCTCCAGAGGTCCCTTCCAACCCTGACTATTTTGTGATTCTGTGATTGCTTTCACATGGTGGTGGTGGTCTCCGTAAGGCACATGGATGACTCCTAAAGAGGCACCCACTAGGGGAGGAAAGCAAAACCTTTTTGTCGGCTTTTGTAAATTTAAAGATGGGATGAGGAAAATGTGGTGCTCTATATAAATCAAATACGTGAGCTGTGCGTCATCAATGCACTTGAGAGAGATCCATCAGGACATTTTAGCGGAGCAAGCAGGACTTCCCCTGCTTCCCTATATATATACGTATATATATATATATACATACACATAACATTAACTCTTTTGCTTGTGTTACCTGCTGTAATGTTAGTGCTAGTCCTTTGGCAGGCCAGTTACACTACAGGCTCTTTCTCCTACAAACACAGAGAAATAACACCTGAAATTAACCCCCAGACTTCCTTTATACACAAAAATCATGCTGTCTCAATGCTTGTTTTCTGTGAGCAGTCAGACTGGCAGTCTGCAGGGCTTGAATGGTTCTGTGAGAGGCAGTGGCTTGCAGAGCTGGTGGTCAGGAGCTGAAGGACAGGAGCTGCTTACATGGTGTGACCCAAGTCATGGGACTGCTATGGCATGTGCTGTAAAAGGGGTAATAGCACACAGCCAGCCCGGGCTATTGTAGCATTCAATTAGTGCTTACACAGTGCCTTGAATAACTCACATGAAAAGCTGACTTATTATTATTGTTATTATTGTCATTATTAAGCTAACAGTATATTCTCTGTGGAGCTCATGAGGAGAAGGTGACGCACAAACAGCACATACAGTAGCAGCTGCATGTGAACAGTGCCCCAGGAGTTATATAGGAAAAAATTACCTTAATAATGGCTCCTCTGCTGTGGTGGGATTTTCCTCCCTTTAATTATAGTTGCTGCTTTCATTTGAAATTGATTAAGTGTTTTAGGATGGCAAACAGAGCTGGTCTTTTTGGAAAGAACACTCAAAGACAGCCCCAGCTAGGAGCACAACATTTTTATTTCTTTTTAAAGGACTCAGAATTTCTTTCTTCCCAAATGGGAAGAAGAGGACTGGATTTGGTGCTTGTGGACATCTCTGCCACAGGATTGCCTGGAGAGTATAAGACCTCACCAGAGGAGAATCCACCATCCTGATTTTAATTAACTGCATTAGATGGAAGAGGCAAGAAGGACCAGCAAGTGTTGCTACCTGTGAAAGGTGCTAAAGTGACCTCTGTTGCAGAGGGACATTTAACATATGTAGTGAAGGAGAGAACACCAAATTTTTAAGAGTTATAACACTTTTATGATTTGCTGAGAGTTAAAAGACCCCCTGCATCTATTATTCTTGGCAACCTTTTGGTATTCCTCTTCCATTTTCATTCATATGTGTCACAACAGCTTTCACCAGCACTGCACAATTTTGGTAGTGTCATATTTACATGGGCTTTCTACCACTTTCACTGTGAATACTGTGGAGGAATCACAAACCTCTTACACAACCGTGTAATATTGCTTCACAGAGGTGCTTCTGTTGGGAAGGTTGAGGCTTCTGCAATTTCTGCTTTAACATTTCTGCTGCCCTCTGGTGTTTCGGATATCCTGAACGAGGAATCACCTTGGATGATTCTGTGATAGCCATGGTCGGGAGAGGTGTAATTACAGAGCAGGCTTGTACATAACCAGGGTAAAAAAGCGAGGAAAGTGAGGAGGACTTTCCAAAGCATATTCACAAAGATGTTCCTTTGATTTCTCTAGGAAGAGGGAGAAGCTGGGAGGACACAGCTGCTCAGTTTTTCCATTGCAGCAGCAATGTGCTCCCTCCCTAAGGGTGGCATGATCTATGTATGGCAATATACATGGAGACTGATGCCTTCCAGAACTCATCTTGCAGATATTTCCAGCAATTCAATCTTTAGTCATTTCACTCAGCATTTTCTATCAGTTTCAAAACAAACTAATGACAATAGCAACTTTCTTCGCTTGGCAAAAAGAAAACAAACCAAGAAGTGGAATCATTCCTTTCTACCCGTTTCACCCTCCACAGCTGAAGTCAGCCTGGGTTGGTATGGCAGGTTTACTGGGGCACTATTTACTGTACAGCTGTAGGTTTTTTCCCCAGAAAATAACAGTGTGATTATTTTGAAAATCTTATTTGTTAGGCTGTTTTACACAATTTAATTGAATAAAACCTTGCCGAAGTCAATAGTGTTGTTCCTGGTCACACCAAGTAAGACTCTGGCCTAGAAAAAAAGTCAAATGGGAGGTGTCACATTACAAAAAAAAATATAGTGACATTTGAAGTAAAGAAGATGAGATAACCAACTAAAATACTTGTAGGCTTATTTTAAAGACAAAAGCATTATCTTGAAAAAATGGTGCATGACTGTTTCTAATACAACTTCAAAGCGTCTTTGAATTGAAAAAATCCAGGCTGCCACTGCAATTTTGGCAAAAATACTTTAAAGTTAGCATGTCCTTACTGAGGTACCACAATGCTATGCAGAAATATATTTCAGACCACTGGAATGTCTTTGGTCATAATATTGCATCACAGTTACATAATTACGATCACAGCAATGTTTTTTTGTCATTAAGGTTTATGACATTCCCTAATTAACGAGACAATGACATTTCACTGACATAATACATTGAGCTTGTCTTGCAGAATAAAGGGACGTAGACCTCCTCTTCACCATTTATCCTTATCTAGGGCTCAGAAATAGCTTTTTAAAGGGTCACCACCAGGTATGTTTGGGTTCTTTACTTGCCTACATATAATGTGTTACAAAATCTACTGTTAATACCAAGGCTCTGACTGTCTTTGTTTATATAAAGGGAAATACAAACACTGAACAAACAAGGTGGTCTGTGCCCTTGAGAGTGTCTCTGTTTTATTGTAATCATTTCCCTTCTGTGTTTGTCACTCTAATAGTGCTGGGGCACATGAACCTGACTGGCAACTGGCAACAAGCACACAAAAAGTTGTGTAAAAAAGAGAAGTGGGATAGGTTATTTCTATTGCCCAGGGTAAATAAAATGCAGAATCTGAACAACTAGCACTGAACAATGGCTTTTGAATTAGGGGTTTTTTCCAATTGTTTAAGCTTAATGACCAAAGGTGGTGATAGCAGTAAAAGTGAGTACACACCTGTAATCTAACTGTGCCCATTTGAATTTAACTGAAAGTCATTTTGTTTACACCTCTTAAAACATCCATCTGCAAGATATCCTGTAAGGCAGAACATGTATTCTATCAAAAGGTGTTGAGCAAAGAGGACCAAAAACCTCTGGGGCTGAGTACATTAATCTTAAGCTACTTTTACTCTTGGCATAGGGATTAGCCAGGCAGGCACCTTCCTGGGGCAGAACCACCTGGAAATCCAATGCTTACAGACAAACTTGGAAATGGCACTTTTCCACCAAGACCGTACCATCTTCATGGACAAAAGAGACAACAGGTAAGGAAAAGATGTAATTTCCCCCACTTACTGTACCCCCTTTACTACTGGGAGGGCAGAAAGACTACAGGATGAAGTGTCTTGCCGATGGTAGTGATGCAGCAAGTCTGTGGCAGAGCTGTGAAACACATTTCTGTGTCCTGAGCTCTGGCAAAGTGCTTTAACTGCAAGGCCAACCTTCCCACTGAAATTAAGTGAATAACGTTAATCTTACAGCTGGTGTAAGTACAGCTGTGTACATACAGGGTTCAGCACAATTTATACAATAGGCAGCTCTTATATGTGATTTTTCACAGTCTGGGCTTTCTGGGCTTGTAATTTAATGTTAGCCCCCCCCTCCTGGCTGGAGTGTGGACAGAGAGACAGGTCAAATGGAGTCAGCTGCTTTCTGCTGCTCCCAAAGCTTTGCCACTCTGTGCCAGCAGTTTCTGTTGAGAGCTTGTGTTGCTTCTCACTGCTCCCTGAAACATCCCACACACTGTAGTAGCTCGTGTGTTGCTTTGTTGTTTGGGGGTTTTTTTTAGGCCACACCTGATCAGGGAGGTTTAGCGGTGTAAGATCAGTCGGAAGCTGGCAGCTTCCAAAGCAAAAAGCAAATGCTGAGTAGACATCAGATATGAGAGCAGAGGTGGCAGGGAGGCATGTCCACGATCCATTTGACAGGGGATTTGATTCCTGTGAAATTATCCTTCCCCTTCTCTGTACCAGCGTCCTCCCTGCTGACTGCTGTGCACACGGCTGTAATCTGAAGCTGTCAGTCCTCCCAGGGCCCCAGACAGAGATGAAGGTTGAAAGGGTCCCAAGACTGAAGAGGCTATGGACAGGGTGAGAGGAAAACAACAAGCAGCAGCAGGGAAGCAGTGCTGGAAACCCCTTGAAATGGCGAGGGAAGAAAACCCACTGACACCACTGTGGGAAGGCTGGTTGTGTAAAGAAGCGGTGCTGGGGTAGGGAGGAGCTGCCCTGCTTAGGTCCTGAGCTGTCAAACAGGAGTTGGGACACTCAGTCACACCACTGTCACCCTATTGTCACCCTCATTGTCCATGTCTAGTGGCTTCACAGCCCCTGGGCACCCCCAACCTGAGGCAGAGCTTGTGGGAACTCCACATTGAAGCTACAAATTAGCCAAAACTCAAGGTCAAACTCTCTTGTCCCCCTTTTCCCCTGCCTTGCCTGGGATCTTTTCTCTTTGGGATCCCTACAGAAAGGTTGGGGAAATTCTGCCAACCAGACGGATGTGGTGGGAAACCAGCCTCCTTTCAACAAGTTTGGGAACCTTCCCATGGGCAGGCCAGGGGGCTGAAGGCTGTTACCCTTGTCTTTATGGCTGCTGGGGTTGCCGTGAGGTGTTCCCAGCTGTGCAAGACCTGCCAGTTGTTCTCCAGCCAGCGCAGATGGCCTCACTGGGGACTGGATGTCTGTTCCCGTGCTGGGCTGGAGGGACAATCTGTGAGGGCAGGAAGGGAATTCAGCCTCGTTCCTTTAGGACTGACTGTCCCTGTGTCCCATTGCATTTTACAGGAGTGCTGTAGGATGTGGAGATGCCCTGGCAGTGCAGCTGTGGACGAGGTGGACACGTGCCCAACAGGAAGCATCCTGAGACAATGGAATTCACTGCACACGTATGTTCTTTGCTGATGGCTGTGCTGGAAACAGTGACCTGAGTCTGGCAGTTTTGATGTCCCTTTGCTCCAGCCTCCACACCCCTCCCCTCTCTTGTGAGTGATTCATGCAGAAAGCTGCAAATCATTCCCCAGGGACAAAATGAATAAAGGCCCCCCTCACCTTTCCTCTATATTCATGCCTTAGAGCCTGAAATCCTCCATACTCTTGCTGCAGTTTGAGATGGAGAGGCAATTGCTTTCCCGGTGTCCCAGGTAATTCCTTCACCTGCTTGTGCCTGCCTGTACCTCTACCAGGAAAGGGGAATGCATGGGCTCCTTTGAAGAGGGTTTTAATGGCATTTGTCCACTGCATACCAAAAAATCTGGAGCTTCTCCCCTCCCCCTTCTCCTTCTCGACTTTGCTCACTCTGAAAGAAAACAGAAACAAAATAAAAGTTGCATTAACAGCACAGTCTTGGTGGTACAGTTATTCCACAGGGAAAACCTGATATATCCACCTATTGTCTGAGCCACTACTAAGAGATCCTTAGCCAATGAGCAAGTTACGAAAACAGGTATCCTTCCTTAGAGATTGATGTGATATTTGCGTCTGATATTTCCTGCCATACAGCACAGATTGTTTGTGCCGATAGACAAGTGAGAAACGCTGCTTTCCAGAGAGGGGGAGAAGGACTGTTGCAACACACCTTTATTGTCCTCCCCTGGAACAGTGTCTACGATTCGTTTTCCATCCATCCCTGCAAATACATTTCCTATAATTGCCGCTCTGTCAGATGCGCTGTAATCCGTCCCCTCCTACGTCAGCTGCATTGTTGTAACCCCCCTCCGATGTCAGGAGAACTGTAATCCTCCTCTTGCGTTACATCAGGGCTGTGTCTCTGACATTTTCAGCTGCGTTCACCCAAAGTCAGGCAGAGCAGGGGCAGAGAGAGAACAAAACGCCACTTTCTGGACCATGAATGCGATGAGTTCTCCAGCGTTTTGGGCGTGCATGTGGGTGTTTGGAAGTGAGGTCAAGCGCATTTTACACACTCAGAAGCTGGCACTCTGCAGCCACACACCACACAAAGGTTCTTATTGGTGCTGAACATGAGAAGCTCAGCGGAATTTTTGTGTGGCACTGAATCATGCATCATATGTTCTTTTACACGCTGGTTCCACACACGGGCTGTGACGGAGGGGAAGACAATAAATAAAGTTTCAGAGAACAAAGGGTTAGCAGAATTCCTGCTTTGTAAGCCCCCAGCTGATGAAATGATTCCAGTGAAGCAGGAGTGGGGGAGGTGGGCTGGCTGGCAGTTTGTGAATGGGAAACCAAGACAACCCATTTCCAAATGTGCACGCGAGTGTTACGCTTCGTTCCCGGGGCTCAGCAAGACCCTACAAACAATAACACAAAGGAAATTTCTTACGTGCTGTTCTTGGCACAAGCCAACCCTGAGTTTCCGGGGAAGCAAAGTACAGGGCATATGGGATCTAAATATATGCAATCGTGGATGACAAGAAACATGGAAGAACTTTTTGGATGGAGTTGTTTGTTGACATCCTGAAAATATCTCTCACAAGATGGATAATGACAAGGCAACTCAAAACCAGATGGTTCTCCAGTGATGGTTTCACAAAGAGCTTTAAGGTTGGGGTGGAGTGAGCAGTTTGTGCTACTGGGACAGATTGATTGTGACTCCTCAAATAGGAAACCAGATGTTCATACTTCAGCTAGAAATGCTCCCCTTGTTACACAGCTGATACAACTAGAGAGCACACAGCTTTGTCTCATATTCAGTAGGACATGTTATCTTCAAGCAGTTCTTCATGTTGCAGGCCCTTGGTCATCTTTTGAGCTGGCTCAAGCTGTTTCCTTTCTGTCGATAGCCGTCACCTCTCAGAAGATCAGTGACATAGATCTCCTTTTCCTGCCTAATTTATGCTTTTCAGTTTGGCAGATGGTTCCCCAGTCTTGTAGTACATACCAGGGGAAAACTCTTACAACAAGATCTGCAATTGCTCATTGTGGTGGTTAAGATAGACCAGTATCTTGGCTTAAAGAGATGCCTTTTTGGAAGATATTATAATTATGTGAGTATAGCAAGATCATATTCTATAGGTATTTATTTAAAGACTAACACTGTTAGATGCATAAAACGTAGAGGATCAGATTAGGAAGAGACCTAGTTACAGAGAAATTCCCATTGAAAGCAAAGGTGAGAAAGTCAGTAACTGAGCTCATCTGAAAATTTTATTTGTATGCTTCCATAGGAGCTGAAATCTGTGACAGGGATTCCTCCAGCCAGCACGTTCCTACTTTGGCAAGTCACTTATGTCAGCAGGGCTTTTCAGGATGGAAGCCTTTAAATTCTGTCATTTGTAATGTAAGGAGGAAGAGTGTGAAGAAGGAGAACAAAATGGGTATTGATTTGCACTAGGTTCCAGTGCAAAACCCCTTCTGGTGGGTCTGTGTGAGGATACCCATGTGCATTACTCTGTAGCTGCAGATGGCATATCCTCTCTGGGGCAATGATCTGGGATTGAGGCAAATGGTGGTAATAAGATGTATAGTCTGGAAACCCTCCATTGGCATATTCTTTACTTCACTGCGTGCCAATAAAAACTAGTGTGATGGCCAAACCTTTTCACAGACCCATTTGTTAATAAGAGATACAAGATAAAGAATTCAATATATTTGACAGCATGACATTATTCTGGCGGTTTGTAATATCAAATGGGAACCTGGAGTTCAAATTTATAACCTACTAGCAATATTGATAAATATTTTCCTCGGACAAAAAGTAAATTTCTCACTGAAGTCAAAGTGATAAGACATAAAGGGATATGTGCATTCTCTGTTAGTGCTGGAAGGTACTTCTGATGCTTTTGGGGAAGCAGAATAAGCTACCTTACTGAAAATGCATTGAATTGCAATGTAGTTGGGACAAACTACAGGATGGAGCAACACTCACCACCACAAGTAGGCTGGGGCTGTGGTGAGAACATCTATTACTGCATCTTCACAGAAAGGTATTTGTGCCGAAAAAGACAGAAAAGTATTCAGAATCTCTTTTTTTTTGGTTCTTTTTCTTCTGTTTAGGTTTTTTTTCCCTGTTTTTTTCTTGAACAGGAGGCTTGTTAAATAGCACAGCAGCCACATGAGCATTTAGAGAGAATGCACTTGTGCAGCAACCTTTATGAAAAGGAAATATTGGTTTGGGCATCAGGATTTAGAAAAAAATGCCGAGACCAAAAACCCAACGAGCAATGAATAGTAAAGGCATGAACAGAGAACAATTCACTGAGTGCCAGTCACTGGAGCCATTCACTGAGGAATTTCCAGTGATAACAAACTCTCATCTGAATTCTCTGCATCCAGCTTCATCAACAGACAGAAAGACAATTTCTCTTGCTCACGTTATTAATGGCAAATTGTTTGCCTGGCATTAGAATAGAGCAGAGTGGAGTTATGTGTCTCGTCTCTCCTGAAGAGCCTGGGATTTGGGTTCTCTGCTCACTGCATTTTGAGGAAAACCTGGAAATGCCTGAAGGTGAATTGAAGGACATTATCACTGCAGCCAGGATGGTGGAAGCGAAATTATAGGAAACAGCAATACTGGACTGGCACTGCAGTCTGGGGGTGTCACAGGCTCCTGGGCAGAAAGAAACAGGAAAAAATTTGCTGCCCATCATCAGAGAGTGATGAGGAGTGAGAAGATGTGCTATTTGTGATAGTGAAAGCGCACCTTCTCCTGATAAATTAGTCGAGTATCCACAAGAACTCATTAGTCTCAGTAGGACAGGTTTACTCCAGCTGGAATGAGCACCCTGAACCACCAGCAGATCTTTCCACCCAGGGCTTTGCTCTCAGGCCTGCCATGTGTGAACGATGTGTGTGTGCAGGCACACACCTGTGTCTGGGGGAGGAATCCCCTCTAAATCATCTTGCTGCTGCACATGGAGGCAACACACCCAACGCCTGGCATTACCCACCCCTGGCAGCCCAGGATGGAGGGTGAACCATCAGGAGGGAGGTGCAGACACCCCTTGTATGGAGGATTTCCACGTTTTGTCCATTCACATTTCCATTTGGAATGAACACTCGGGGGATATGTCCTTGCCAACTGCACTGTTGTATCATCATGTCCTGACACAGAGGGACCAGCAGTCCTGCACTGCCCAGGAAGGACAGGGAGACTTTGCAGAAGTATCGCCAGCATAGACTGCTGGCCTTTACAGTCTCATTGGTGAATTTACATAAAAGCCACTAGTGAACACAGTAAAAACACAGTGAGTGATAAGCCAGTTGTCCTAATAAACAAAGACAAAAAAGGCTGGGTTCTATCCTGGAGTAATGGCAGC